GGAGGAGCGGCATTGCCACTGAAACCCATATGTGCGGCCATATCCTTCGGATCGGAATCTAAAACGACATCGTGAAGCCGGTGTAGAGGGTGTATATATATAGATACATATATATATGCTCGGGAAACTTATACGGAGAGAAGGCGGCACCTCCTAGGTACTGGCTAGCGTTAGATAGCTACTAGTCATGAAGCAAGAGGGTATATATTGTATTGTATATTGTAGCCAATAGATTTCAGATCCTCAAACGCCACTGGTAAATATGATGGTGGTTTGAAACTGCAACCGATAGATACAGTAGATAGATAGATATCAGCTTGGACATTCAAGGCGCTGCAACACTAAACCTGTTTCAGAGCAACTGGCACGTGATAATGCTTACATTCGTGCTAGTCCTGTTTAGACCTAGTTCGTGCTTGGCGGAAGGTGCTCACATCAAATAATCGTCCATGTTTTTTCTGTCATTTCCCATGACGCTGCCATCCATGCTCATTAACGATGGTAGTAATAGAAGAATTTGGCAGCCTTGCGCTGATTTACGACTCCCTCAATTCCTCTCCTCATCTGCCATCATTTTTTAACAACTGCCATGATCTAGACATTCCGCATTTAGAGCGCGGAAAATCAGAAGGATCCACTCCAAATACATGCATAGTAGTACATACATAGTAACATAGTGCAGAGTAGCTAAACGGCCTAGCCGACGCAAATGCAGGTCCATTTTTCCGGCAGTCAATTCCGCATTCCATTCCAAGGTTAGCATTTGTCGCAGAAAAATGGGTTCCAAACGACCTCCGCTCCCCCCCCCCCCCCCTCTTTTTTTTTTCCTTCCCCGATTTCCACCCCCAGGCCCCAACCCCGCGTTTCAAACGCATCTGAAACTGATATACGTGTATAGGTTCCACCGCACCCCTCGCCGGCGTATGTCCTCTCCGGCGTATATCCTCTCCGGTATATATCCTCTCCGGTGTACATCCTCTCCGGTGTACATCCTCTCCGGCATACATCCGCCCAACATTAAATATCGGTAACTCCCCTCCCCACCCCCCACACATCTGCGGACCAAGAGCCTAGAAGCACGCAAGCGTTACAGCCCTGGTCCGTGAGAACGAAAAATTCAAAGTTAAAAAAAAAAAAAAAAAAAAAAATCATCCCCCAATGGTGGTGATGTCTGCCTGTAACATGATCTTATGGCTCAGGGGAAGAGAGAGACTCTCCCGGTCCCCGTCCGACGCTGAAGTTGAAGTAGGGAGAGGAAGCCCGGTTTTAGACTGGGATCTTCGTCTGGAGGGGTTCGTCTCTCCTCCCTGTAAATATTGGGAATGGCCCAGAGGCGCGGAGAGTGGTTCTGGCGAATGCGGGGGTGGCACCGGAGACTATCCGTATCCAACCGTAGGTGATCTGTGCAGGTTTCTGCCACGTGGATATCATTGTTGTTGTTGTTGATGTCGTTGTTATTGACTAAGGAGGGGTCCTATTTGTGTTAAGAAAAAGATAAAAAAAATCCGTTACGTTAGAATGCAAGTCATCAGAATGTGCGGTTAAGTCGTAAGAAGAGGCAAGAAGGAAGAAGCCCAGAAGGACGGAGCGAAAAGACCACCCACACACATACACAAAAACCGGAATCGTCATTGCATGTCAAAAAAACATGCATACAATACCAAAAAAAAAAAAAAAAAATAATAAAAATAAAAATAAAAATAAAAATAAAAATTGAAAAGAAAAGAAAAGAAAAGAAAAGAAAAATAGAAAAGGAGAAGGCCTCCCTTTTGTGTTCCGTAGTATCCGTGAACAGTTTTTATGGTCTATTCCGATATTCATGACACATGAGAACTCGAAGAAAAAAAACCGATCCCGAAACGCGAAGAAAAAGCACGAATCAAAAACTCCCATCCAGCCCACGCCTGAGTGGAGGTCATAATCGTGTTTAATTATTCCTGCCCATCCTATCTATTAGTGCCGCTCGCCAACGTCGGACGTATATTCTGTAGTCGTGGCGTTGGTAATGGGGATGAGAGGTGGCTTCTTGGGTGATGGTGCCGCATCCTCAGAACCGTGCTGGCGCCTCCTATCACGAGCTTCACTGTCGTAATCGTTATCATCACCAGGACTGTCTCCCTCGTCTTCGTCGCCTTCGTCGTCAGTGATCGCCGGGCTCTCGATACGTTGATTCTTTAAGGTGGAAGAGAAGTTAGGGGTAGCGAACTCCGAATTGGGAAGGCTCAAACTGCGTGTGCCCTCGCTCGTGTCATCTTTGTCGTCCGTGCTTCTGGTAGATGCGGTGTCTCTGGAAAATGATAGCCGTGGGTCGCGGCTTGTATTGGGGATTGCGAGACTTCCCCCCATATCCTGTTCCCCGATCGCTTGAGCCACCGCGGCTTCCTCTTCTGGTTGCTTCGTGGCGATGCTATCAGAGTTACGTGCCTTGTCGAACACTCGGCCGCTCTTCATGTCGTTCAATCGAAGAATGTGGTTGTATCGGTGCCGCGTCGGATTGCCAAGACGTTTCTGTTTCTTCTTTTCGCGCTTTGTGGAGGAGCGGACGACAATGACCGGGATGGGCGACTGTTGAAGACAATATTTCGACACTGAGCCCGGAAGAAGGCCTTGCATCCCACCCAGGCTGCGTCCACGCGTTCCGACAATAAGCGCCGAGGGCTCGTAAATTTGAATCTTAAAATATAGTATGGGGTTAGAAAATGGAACATGGACGTAGAAGAATATAAACCGACACACGTACCATTCGTTGGATTATTTCCTGCACTTTTCCCACGGCGAACTCCAGCACCAAGCTAATCGTTTTTTCATCATGGGAATTCTTCGCAATAACTTGATCCAAGAGCTTTTGGGCCTCTTGCCGGTATCTCCTTTCTTCCATGCTTGCATCACTCGCGATCTTCGAATCCTTCTCGACGACTCTTAGACAGACAATTTCATCGCCATCGTCAACGAGTTCGTCGATCAGCCATTCAAGTGCAAAATCAGAATAATCATTCTGATCAGTACCACAGAGGAAAGTTCGGCTCCGCCGTGTGGGGTGGTAATCTCTGTGTTTGTAATTGAGTGTTAATGAGAAATCAGTGGCGTCACGGTTATCAAAGGTATCGAATGAGACCCCGCGATTATAGGCACTGACGTCGTGAGAAGTTAGCGTAGTGTCAGGGTGATATTCCTCATGCCTATCAGAGTGGGGTGGATTCATATTGCAAGAATTATCATATGTGATTTGTAAATGATGAATGGGGAGTTGTATTGGTGACACGCTACAGCCGCTTCTGGGCTTTATGAACCGGCAATCGGCATTGAGAGCCAGAAGGCGCAGTCACATCCTTGAGTTGCAGGGTGGGGGCACGCTCGGCGCAAGCGAATTAAGATGCGAAGGGGGGCAAAAGTGTAAAACAACCTGGGGCAATAAGCAAGAAGGGAACCGGCTCCAGCCACATCCTACAAGCCACATCGAGCAATTGAAGAGTTGGTAACGTCATTCAAAGGCGGTGCGCGGAAGAACCAAGTAGATTTTTTTTGAAGTGGATGATGAACAGACAACCGAAGTTACGAAAAAAGATGAACAACGAACCTTGGTGGAGGGGGGGATGGCATTCTGCCGATATGGCTGATCAAAGTTCCCCTTGTGGCACCAATTCGTTTTTTTGATAATTCAGCTGCAGCTGCCTCCATGTTGAACTGAATCGATTGCCGCCGTGGTGGAACGTCAGTCAGCATGGCGGTCGAGCCGCCCAAGGTGAAGACACTCGCATCATCTCTGTGCGATGAAGCTGTCTCGTCAGATCCCAAAGCAGACGAACTGCTGTCAGCCCAAGTGTTTGTAGATGCCGACTCGGACATTTGAATCTGAGAATCAAACACCGAGGTACCGTTTTTTTTTTTTTTTTTTTTTTTTTTTTTTTTTTTTTTTTTTAACAATGAACTTCAGGAGGATCGATATAACGGTGCAAAATCGTAAATCGGGGGTGTCTATGATGGTATAGCGGGATATGGAAGGAAAAAATAGACGGCCAAAAATCAAACCCCACACGCAGACGCAAACGTAAACGTAGTCGAAGAGATTTTTCTGTTGGCTTCTTTTCCGATCTGGGATATCCACCAACTGAGTTTGCTTAGAATTAGGTTGTACGCAGAGGAAATTTCCGGCGGTCAAGAGCTGATGAGAAAAAGCCAACAACACGGGATAGAAATGTCTAAGAGACGATGTCAGTTCAACAGGGGGCGGGGTTAAAAGAGCACAGAGCTAGCGGCAGGCGTATACTCAGGCGCAATCTAGACAAATCCTCACCACCAGCAAGGCCACCTGCGTAAAACACATCCTGGGAAGAGAGAGGGGTAAGGAAGGAGCGAAGAGGAAAGAATGAATGTATATATATATATATATATATATATATATACACCGCTTACAGGATAAGTTTCCGCGCCTGGGTGTGGTAGGTATGGCTATTAGTTGGCGATAGCCTTTCGGTACGAGTTGTTGTCTTGTTAAAATAGTGATGAGGTGAGGGTATGAAGATCAAGCAGTAGAGGAACAGCTGGGTGTCAGGCACCGTGGAGCTCCTTTAAGACTTGGAGAAGAATGATTGAGACACAGGCTGTCATTGTCCAGAGAGGTGGCCGGGTGAAGGGTGATGTCTCTAATTCACTGGGTGGAAGGCCGGTTGTGTTGTGCGCAGGGCTTCATTCATAAAACAGGTCGGTCAAGAAGGCGAAGAGGAGACGTGAGAGGAGAAACGTGGGGGAGGACAGGAGGGGTAGCTCCGTAAAATTGGGGAGGAAGAAGAAGGAATAGAAGAGAGGGGATGGAAACCGATTGCGTATCAGGGAGAGTGGAGGGAATGGGGAATTAGCACGAGAATATCATAACTCTCCACCTAGCCACTACTGAGATGGAATGACGGAGATGGATGATAGCCGATACGGGCGGAGTGGCTGGAAAGAAGAAGAGGAAAGACAGAGGATGAGGGTGAGGATACGGATGAAGATGAAGATGAAGATGCGGATGAAGATGCGTCGGGTGGGATGTTTTGAGGCTGAACAGCACCCCAAGCCGCCAAGCGCGAAGCCCACCGCCGCCAAGCCCCGGCGCTTCTTTTGTGCAATAGCCAGCCGTCCTTCCCGCCTTTAGTCAGCCGCCCCGGCCAAGCTCCTCCGCTGCCTTGGCGGGGATAGGGATATGCCATTCCTTCTCCTGTAAAGCTATATATAGTCCACCACGGGGACCCCGCGAGAGGACCGGAGCGCGAGGATGGTATACTAGTATGTATGCGTCGCGGGACCAACGCATTTCACATCTTTCTCCTATCTGAAGTTATGCAGTTCTACTGGTAACCCCGTTCGTAGTATGTTCTCCAGCTCGCCCGCTCACTTCTTCAATCTGGCCCGCCGATCCCGCTGTCCTGCCCAGGGTTGACAGGACGAAAACAAATCAATAAAATAAATACATCAATTGTTAGCATCCCTATCGCCCGCTAGAAGGCTACATGACCACGCCCTCTTAACCTTGGAAGCAGCGCTGCGCCCGCTACAGTAGTGCAGGTTCTGTGTAATGAGTCCACTCCGTACTGTCAATCAACAGACTCAGCACAGATAAACTAGTTACAACGAACCCAACCTTCTACCTCCATCATCAATGAAAAAAAAAAAAAAAAAAAAAAAAAAAAAAAAAAAAAAACCCATTTAAAACATAAAAAAAACCAACAAACTAAACAAACAAACAAATAAAACTCCATCATCCTCAGGTCCAAGAACACAACCCCAATTGCTACACCGCACCCCGTCGGCGAGTGAGAAGCGAGCATAAGCGGGACATCTCCTCCGTTCCCAAAAGATCAGGACTAGGTACTCCGTAGTAGGCACCTTTTCATCCAGCAGGTTTCTTTTTTCTTTTTTTTTTCTTTTTTCTTTTTTTGCGGGGGTGGTGTTTAAAATTTTTCTTTTAATTATCTTTTTTTTTTTTTTTTTTTTTTTTTTTTTTTTGGCCCCATCCCGTCTACTTCATGCTTCGTGAGCGAAAGACATAGGAAAAGGAAAAACTTCCGCCCCGCGAAGAGAAGAAGAAGAGGGGTAACTAAGTAAAGATATCGGAGGGGAGGGGAGACAAATCTCTTATCAACTACAAGGGAAGATTAAGGTTCCTTTGCGAATCCGTATCAGTCAATAACTGGCCAATGAACCAGCTATATATAGTTCTTTGTATACAATTGATTACTAGGGAACTTGAATGCAGAGAGCCGGATTTGTTTCGGGACCAGGATCGATTTAATCACCCAATCAAGACGGGAGGGAGTATCAATCTATCTAACAAATTTCGTAGATTTGTTTTGATTTGTTTCGCTGCCAATAGCTACATCACGTAGATATATAAATATAAATATCGATCGACATTTCCTCACACACACAGAGGAGTATATATATATATGATAGAGAGTGAGATATGAGATGAACAGAATAGCCAAGATATCAAAAAGGCCAGAGACGAACAAAAGAACCAGCCCAGCGCTCTCAACCAATCCAATTCCAATTCCAGTTCCAATTCCAGTTCCAACAATCCATCCAAGCAGGCTTCCTCCAATAATAATAATAATAAAAACCACGCCCCGCTTCTCTCGCCGCCTCCTTTCCTCCTTTCGACCATCGACCGGATTAATACGGTGGGATGGAGAGCGCGGCGAGGCGAATAGGGGCCACCCAATACAGAAATCAAGGACAGAGAAGGATGTGATGGGAATGTGGAAGTGGAATTGGAATTATGGGAGATGCATTGGGGAAACGGTTATGTGTGTGTGTGTGTATGTGTGTGTGTGTGTGTGTGAAGAGATATCTGTAGTTGCAGCGAAGCGAAATGGAAGAGGAGAGATGTTTGTTTTTTGTTCAAACGAAGGGGAGGGATGAAAGGTGGATGGTGGTTGTGGTTGAAATGACATAGGCCGAAAACGCCGCCCGGGGAAAGACCGAAAACTTTTCAGTAGGAAAAAGAACAAAAAAACCGGCCCACGTCGTCCCATTTCGTCGTTGCTTGATGTAGCTAGAAGAAAAAGATGTGAATAACATAACGCTGTTGTGCAAACATGCTTGTGTGGTGTCAATGCTACAGTAAATCAAAAGACGTCGCTTGGAATCAGAGGAAAGCCATTAGTCTTAAAATGACAATATTCTCAATAGGGCATGTCGAAGATGTTAAATTTTGATTTTGATATTGATTTTTTTTTTTTTTTTTTTTTTTCTTAAATTTTCCCTTTAGAAAGCTTCAATCAGCGGCCCTCGCTCTTGTTGATGGGAAAGGAAAAAATCATCTGAAAACAGTGGCGTTGCCGCTTGATCTGATTCCGGCGACGATAATAGAGGAGGGAATGACGACGGCGTCGATTGTTGCTTCGACGAGTACAGCTCCGTTGTGGCCATGACCTCCTTCTCGTTGAAACTGTCAAGCACCAGATGTGGAGGCGTGCGAGGGACCGATTCGTCATCTTCTGACGACGAGTCGTCCGACTCATCGAGAAGGTCGGGCGGTTGTTGTTGGGAGCGAGAACTTGTTCGTGTGAGGGCAAGTTCATCATAGTCTTCTTCATCGTCATCCACTATTCCATCGTCGTCTTCGTCTTCGAATCGTACGAATTCGCGGGATGTGATTGTAGGAGTCGAAGGTGGTTGCTGCTGCTGCTGCTGTTGAGATCGGGAGAGCCATGAGGAGAAGTCTTCATCTTTACCGTAGTCATCTGAGTCGTCACTATCTGTATCTGAGCCGGAGGATAGGTCTTCCGGATCCCAGTCATCCTCGGGCTCCTCCACAATCGTATCAGCCCATTCGATATGTTTGCTGCGTGACTGTGATTGTGGTTGCCGCTGCTGCTCCCCCGACAGCTTTCCATTGGCTCCCAGAACAGTCTGATTAAACCACTTTTCCTGTTCCTTTTCTGCGTCTGCGAGCTCGAGCATGAGAGAGTCGAGCATATTAGCATGGCCAACGAGGACTCGGAGGTCGTGCTCTGGCCGAGAAGCTTCTCGGGATAGCTTCGCTCTGGCGGTATGAGCGAGGAAGTAAGTCTGGGTGAGACTCATTTTTCGTTGTTTCTTTGCGGGAGGAGGGTATATTGTGAGAGGAGAGAAGAGCGGGGAGACAGATGAGAGAGTGGACATGGTGAATTGCTTTCACTCGTTGTCAATGTTGTGTGCTGTGTTGTGTGTGCTGTTGAGTGTGCGTGAGAGAGAGAGAGAGAGAGAGAGAGAGTGAGAGAGTGAGTGAGAGAGTGAGAGAGTGAGTGAGAGAGTGAGAGAGTGTGTGAGAGAGTGTGTGTTTTCTGTCCAGTGTCCTGTTTTCAAGGAGTGGTGGCGGTGACTCAAGAGGTGCCTGCAAAAGTCTGCCGGAGTCTGGGTCTGGCCACGTTTAGAGCCGATTTGTCCAATTTTAGAGCCAAGGCGGTGAGCTGACACTTGGCTGTGTCGATAGTGTGTCCTCTGTCTCTCTGTCTGTGCGTGTGGGTGATTGGATGATGATGATGAGGAGGAGGAGGAGGAGTTGTCTTTCGTCTGCAGTTCGTTGTTGGCTTGTGGTGGTTCTCGCTGGGAGGTTATGTAGCTTGGGGGGGGAAAGGTGGATGAATAATAGCCAGACCCAGGCAGCGAGGAAAACACACAACACGAATTGATTACCGTTATTTCGCCTTGGTATTACGAAGCAGGATTCTTGGGTTTTCTTGGAAACAAGGGCAGTCGGCCTATCTTTATGCTGGATGGCGGACTGAGGCTGGACCCGTCGTTGTGTTGCTGAGAAAGGCTGAGTCCTGGTGAGGGAGAAGTTTATTAATTCCAACAAGGTTGGCCCGGAGGAGACCCACGGCCTTCCCTCCTGCTTAAACACCGAGCGCCGGAGTTGGTCCATGGCGGGCACTACGGCCGTAGTTGCGCTGCGTAGTTAAACTCTCATTCCGGCTGCGAAACAGTCACTGCTTGTGTAATCCATGACTCTAGTTAACGATTCTTCTGAATCTTCTTCTCCCTCCTTCGGCGGGTTTCCGGGCAACACGTGTTATGCCCGAAGATGCATGCTGAACAATGATCGGGGGGGGGTTTGTTTTATCTGTCTGCCTGGGTTTCAAAGCTGCAGGGCAACCAGGCTCCGATATTCGAACCACCCAACCCCCTTTGGCCGGTGTGCATCATCAACTGTCCGCGTCATGTTCACCACGGGTACGAGTACTATTAAGAAACGGAGGATGACACGGAGGATGACACGGAGGATGACACGGAGGGTGACCTCCAGATCCTCCGCCGAAGGGCTCCGGGGAGCAGCCACCAGCGATTCGCAACGACTCCTGTCACAAGGATCTGGATAATATCCGCAGGTGTCGCTGTGTCGGCGCGTGGATCCCCCCGTGTGCGCGCAGGAAGTATTTTCTGCGGGGGTTGCCTGACAGGGCAGTTGGTCATGTTCTTCCTGCCCGGTTTCTCCAACCAGTCCGCGGCCCAACCACGGATCTCGATCTCAGCCTCTGCCCGTCATTGGTGCTGGATTGGCCTGGCAACGAATGAGTAATCGGCGGGCTGCTTCCTGTCCGGGTATCTGCTGTATTTGGTGTGCCTATTATTACCTCTTGTTACGCCCTACGGAGTATTGCTTGCTTGTAACTAACTCACGCTTCCGTTCCTTCAACTCGCTCTAATTCCATACTCCGTGGTTAGTTCATCTACTGTAGTAGTCAACCTGTGCTTAACGTTATTATTATTCAGCAGAGCCATTTATGATAACTATTGATGATGCCATAGACTACAGCGTACACTGCATAACCAAGCGCACAACTAACTGCCAAGACTAGGACCCTCGTTGTGCTGTGCCTAGTCCCGCTTACTATTTATTATCAATCATAACGGAGTCATCACGTCAATTTCAATCATGATGAAACATCTTGTCAAGTGGATGGACATCGACCGCGGTCGCAGACATCTCTCTAGTGGAATTTCACCAGTGAATAACCAATCCCTACTTGGTACAAAACAAACCAATACAATCACACAAAAATGAGGAAACCAAGGACCATCTCAGTGTTCCTGGCAAGCCCTGGCGAACAGTGTGAAGACAAAAAACCTAGAATTGAATGGGAAACTTTAGGCACACCAAGTCCTTTCGCAAAAAGCAAGGCTCAGGCGGCAGAAGCAAGATTACCCAAGCGCCAAGCAGAGGGGACTTTTGAACTCTCCATCCTTCTCTCTCCTCCTTCCCCTCAACTCGCTCGCTTTATCTCCCGTTCAAACTTCGTAACTTCGTAACTTTGTAATTTGGTCTGCGTCTCCTTCGTCTCCTCGTTCTCACTCGCAGCGAAATCTTCCCTTCTTTTCAAACCATGCAACCACCAACAGGATGGATGCACTCCTGTATCACCTATGGTTCGCAATATGCAAAGAACTCGATGAACAAAGGCATCCCCCGTTTTAACCTTGCGTGCTTGAAACTTTTTTTTCCCACTCCCGGTGCCTTGGCAAGCGTGTTCAGGTAAAGGGTCAAATCAGCTGAGCGCCAGAATGAAAGACCAAAAAAATAAAAAAAATAAAATAAAGATAGATCAATGCAATTTGAAACAGACTCCACCCTTTTCTCTCCCCCGGGTTTGGGTTTGGGTTTGGGTTCGTTGATTCCTCATTGCTCAACCCCGTCTCCCAAGGTTCTCCTCCCTGTCCGATAACAAGATCAACAACAGCAACAACAACGACAGAGCCCACGACTGCAACCCGCAAAGAGCAACTGTTTGGACTGCAGAGGGGAAGATGAAAGGGGAAAGAGGCAAAACCAAAGGGAGGTTTCGCGGAATCCAGTCAGGGTCTGGGTCTGTGGCTCTCGTATTCGCGCGTTGCGCTTAATCCCTATGATTCCATACTTTTTTGGGGCTCCCTCCTCCTTTCGTCGAAGGCGAATATATATCTACTTGCACTCAGCGTATATTCCTCCAATCAAGACAAGAAAAGAACATTTTCCCTTCTAGGACATAACCCACTCAAATCGTCTTTATTCTGTCAAGCAAGACCTCATCTCGTGTTGTTAGTATTTCCTTGACTTAAAACTAGTTCTCTATACTCCGTAGAGTCCCCCAGTTCCTTCACTTCTCTTTTCCTCTGTTCCGTAGATTTGTCATAGACACAGCTGAAGGGACACCATCCTTCTAAATTGGTAAAGCTCCAGGGTTCAAACTGCTTTCCTTTTCCTTTTCTTTTTATAATCTAGATATTATGTTCCACACGGTCGTTTGTACTGTACCAAATAGCCATCCCCTTGGAGTAATATAGTGATCTCCTGCGGTACCTAACTTACTAGTTATCCAAGCGTTGAAGGCATTTTACCTAATTTCGCTGCGCTGCCATTTAGTTAACTAGTTACCTATTTGGTCAAGAACATGATCATCATCAACTGTCAATCTACAGCGTTGTCCTGTGAGCGCCTGGCAATACCAGGTGAACTTCTGACTCTATAAAATATATATATAGAGAGAGAGAGAGAGAAAGTCCAGACCCCTATCGAATGGCATGGCTAACTTACTAGTACGCAAGCCCTTGAAAGGCTTGAATTGAATTTGAAGTCTCTGAACCTTGCCCGATCGACATATTTATTTACTCACGAGTCACAACAGCTCTCCCAGAGGAGCTCAGAGAGCCGACGTTCATTCCGTTCAATTCAACCCCTGGGAACAGCCACTGAAGGAGCCCCCTTTGCGCACAACAAGCTTTCTGACATCCTACTTACATGACGTCGATAACTAGTTAACTAGTTAGTTATGTTGGCCCTAGGCTGCCTATCACGGAGTAGCGCACCGCACATATATGCCTCAGCTGCCTACATGAATACAACCACTTTTTAGACGTCCCACAAGTTAACTATGCATCCAGGTTAATAATAATATAGAAGCCGGCAATCAGTGATACAGTGTAGTAGTTATGACTGTCTCTCTTTAGGGCAAAAGGATGAGCTTAACACTCGTCGGAGACCGGGACACCTCCTCGGTCCTCGGCATCAATTTTTTTAATTTTTTTTAATTTTTTTTAATTTTTTTAATTATTTTTATTTTTATTTTTATTTTTATTTTTATTTTCTTTTTACAACGCAGAATATAAAGTCCTTAACGATGTGAGAGAATTCAGCCATGAGTTCAATTCATCCTCGGTTGTTTCCATGCACAGGAGAAGGGCCCCGAAAAGACGGCTGAGGACGGCTGAATACGGCTGAATACTGATGTGTATTTTGGAAGGTAGCGAGGAACTGACTTGAATCGTATATGTCTCGTACCCTGTATTTTTGGATAGGCTTTTTGTTGATTGATGATGGTGATGATGATGGGTGCGGTGCTGAAATGCTCATTTCCCTCGGGAGATTGATTCAGCCCCCGAAGAGCAAAGGGATTTCCATTTTCGTCGCGTTTAAAGCTCATTCCCGGGCACGTGATGCGAAACCCAGTGGACGCCACGTTTATTTCAGGAACACACCTCACACATCTCTTGTCAACAGCCATTTTCCACATGCATACGGAGTACTCAGAGACAGTAATTGTTGTGATGTCATATTAACAAGCTATTGATGCTCAGCCTTGTTGTAGAATAGTGATGCTCTACTCCCCACCATGTATAAATTCAATATCTTTCATTCCTTTAAAGCATTTCCTCTGTTCACTATTCCCTGTCGCGTTTGTTTTCGAACGCTTGAAAAATCCAGGCTGAGCGTGTATTCGTCCCTTCTAGAATTCCAGTTTGAATGCTTCTGCTAACTGCAATTCCAAGCCCTGTCTGTCATATCCTACCTGGAAGCCGCTGTGCAAAGCATATTCCCCCATATACAAGCAGAGCCTAGAGACTCTCAGAGTAGTGTCGCATATTTTTTGGTCTCTATGAGTAAGCTGCACCAGATACGGCGATCATAATTACTGATGACAGCCTATACTTGGAAGACAGAACCACCACCACCAGGGGGCGATGTATCCCAGTCAGATACCATCTCGGGAACGACCGCAGGATGTCCAAGTAACCAAGAGCAGTCCAAAGTATCTTTGGAACGCATGGTCAAGGACGAGCACATATCAGGAAGATATGATGCAAGCTCTCCCATTCGGGCGTCCAAACGGAAGCATAGGCATGTACCCCGTCTAGAGCGTGGCAAATATGACTCCATCGAGGTGGTCGATATGACCCACACGACTGATGATACTTCTCGCAAACCAGAGCGCCCAAAGAAGGCCATTCCACTGACTCCCCCTGCTGAGCATCATTGCACGTCAAAGGGCAGCCATCCGCTGAATGGAAGCAGCCCAGTTTGGCGATACAAAGCACTCGTCGGCTGTGAGGGGAGATATGGGAAGCCATTTGTTCGTGTTGCATGGTACTCCACCTGGGAGCCTGTAGACGAGTTCCCCCCTGGCGAGGTGGAAAGAGTGAGACTCTTTTAAGACACAATTTATGCCCCTATGCCTCCAGCTTCCGCACAGGTCATCCGCGGGCTGAAGGTTGTTTAAGTCTATGTCACTAAGAGTCTTTATTATTCATTTCAAAAGAAATACAACTCAGTAACACATTCTCTTCAGCAGCCTATCCTTCTTCTCTCTTTTCTTTTTTTTTTTTTTTCACCCTTCCGTCTTCTCTCTCCATCCTTTATTCTTTTATCTCTCTTTACTTCTTTCCTCCAGCTGTCATTTCTTTTATTCTTTAGCTCCCTGCTCTAGCAGATCAACCACTTTACAGCTGCCATTTATATCCCATCCCAAATGCCAACCTTTGGTGAATTTCTACAGCAGATGTCAGATTATGTTTCAGAATGAGGCAGTCCGTGAATCCATCAACATCAGCTGTGACATCTGCTCTGACTCTTTCTTCCTACCTTTCCACTGGAGTCTCAAGTACCTTCATTTCTTCTGTGTGAAATGCTTATGGAATCTCTTTGCAGTCTTTGACTCTGAGATCATACTAGCTTGCCCATTCTGCCACTGTGAAGTTGTACAGTCTTTTTACAACCGAAAAGTTCATAACTATATGGAATTGCATGGAATTCAGCCTGAACAACCCTCAATAAAACAGCAGAAACTTCTGATAACCTTCCTCTTCATCTAGATAAGTAGTGTGGACGATAAGTTGATGTGGGATGTGGATTTCCATGAAGAGAGAATGCAGGCTAGGTTGAGTAGTCCTTATCACGGCAGCAGTTGTGGAGCTGGGGATCCCTGCAATCCTTCTAGAAGCAATGACCGCCACCATTGGGGTGTGCCAATCACTGAAAGATCTACCAGACTGTCGCCCTGAAGACCACTGGATCACAGCTCTCTTCAACTTTCGTGATCAGATTCCTGTGCAGATATTCTGCACGCCGAATGCAGTGGATTCGATTTGTGGCAGATGTGATCCAGTTGACCCTGGAGGACTACATACCTGGCTATCAGAGCTGGTAGTGGAGGATGGGAACAGGGTTAGTGATGAGCTTTGGCTGTCTGAGAGCATTGAACCTGACCTGACCACTTCTTTATAAAAAGGGACAAACTGGAAAACAGGTGAAGAGGTGCTCTTCCGCTCTGAGCAATGGTGATTGTTGAGAACGTCCTGCCTGGCATTTAAAGCCTGAAAGTCGCAAGAGTAAGAAGGAAAATAGCCTTGGGCCTTCCAATTACTCGGTCTCAAGATGCAGAAGAGCAATCCCATGAGCACTCCCGGAGTAGCTAACCAGCTGAGGGGGGATATTAGTAGGGAATTGGTAAAGGTCCTTGGAAAACAACTATAGTGAAGTGCAGAGTGACTGTATGCCCCAGAAATAAAACAGGAGTTGATCACGATGTGTCGGACATCGGATCCTAAGGCAATAAATGTCCAAATATACATGTTGGCTTCCCATGTACAGTACTTCACTATGTTCCGTGTCTGGTTCACTGAGTAAACGGTTGCCGGGCAATGAAATGGAGTCCTCAAGTCCATTTAATCATAGGGTGTATGTGAAAGGGCCGGCACTCCCTTTCATACATTGGGGCTGTCTGGTGTTAACTTGAGGTTCGGGGTCTGGATTGCCGCGATTTGACGCGTTGAGTTCCAGCGCACACTACGTGGGGTGGGAGCTCGTCGTCCGCCAGCCATGAATTTTGCGGAAATGCCACATTCTAAAAGCACCCAAATTGCTGAAAGGATCGGGGATGGCTATTGATGCTAAGAGGCTCTCAATAATAGAACTCGACTGCCATCTCCAGTCATTCGCTATGCCATCCAACGTAACTCGGGATTGGTCACATGGTGTAGCTCGGTCGAGTTACGTGAGGGGTCTAAATACCGGAATTGAGCAGCAAGATGAAGATATCGAGTTCAGCTTAGGCCACTCTTTCTGGGGAATGTGGCTCTTTCATCCCACTGCTCATCATTCTAATTGTTTAGTTTTTGAAGATCACAGCTACGCTGTAAATCGGTCCTTGAAGCTGTAAAGGCATTTTCGAATATGGATGGACAGGATGCTGTTGCCCTTGCAGGTATTTGGCCAGCCCTGCGATTCGTTTCAATGGTGGGGTGCGCGTGGGCACTGTTGTTTCCCTAGGGCGGATTAAGAATGGGCGGAGGACAAGATGTTTGGTCATTGCATGTAATGTAGGTGTATCTATTCTGTCTCTCTTCATTAACATACTGAATATCCCAGTCTACCAACTTCTAACCTCCCGTACTAACCCACGGGCCTGGATACTCACTTTTCATACAAAGCATGAAATTCCGAGCATAACGTGAAAATAGGATTTTTCTCAATCAAACCCATTTGAGCGCAGAAAACAAACTTGAGAGGCCACACAAAATCAATCCATATCCTTGATGAGATCATCAACCAGATATCACAAGCGTGATCTTCTTCCTTCATCAAATCATGACACGTTGTTGTATGTCGACGGGGCCGGAAGAGAGGTACATACTGAAGAATTTGGTATCGGTCCTACTAACCACCGTTCCTTTTCGATTTTGGGAGGGGAGAACTACGTGTCGATCGTGGGCCATGTAAGATCCGTGTCTTTTCTTTATATCTGTATCCCAATTTAAAAATACTGAATGCTGGCAGGGTTCACAGCCGCGGCGTACCTAGAGGCAGTTGCCCATAGAGATATAGCCTATGCAGGCTATGCAGGCTTGAGATACAACCGAGTGCATCGTCGAAAAAACTGTCGGCATTACGCAACTATCTAAAAGTGGCTCCAGATGTCTTACCTGAGAACAGAGCAACCCATGCATCCGTTCTTTGGCACGGTGACTTACACTTACAGAACGTTTTCGTTGATCCAGCGGAGCCAACCCAAATTGTGGGTGTAATTGACTGGTAAGCCGTCAGCATCTGCCCTCTTTTCATGCAGGTCACACTGCCAGGGCTTCTAGATTACAATGGTCCGATTCCCGATGAACTTGGGCGAGTCAGCCTGCCACCCAACTTTGACTGCATGAACTCCTGATGAACAGCAGAAGGGCAAAGAAGCTACATCAAGCCCAAACCTTGCACAATCTTTATTTGGCTCTGTCACGCCAGAATAATCCGACAGCGTTCCAGGCAATAAAGGGTCAGGATAGTCTCCGTCACCAAGTTAGCGTTGTACCAGGTTTGACAATAATGGACTCCGAACCATGCCTCACTGGCTGTCGGAACTAGATAATGTCCGAATATTGACCCAAATACTGAATATCAAAAGAATAATTGAATTTCTTATATTAACTCCAGTAATTACATGATATCCAGGCAGTATTTATAAGAAAGAAGATGCTTGAACATATGATAGGGGCAGTGCTGATATCTTATCGGAACATCCATCCGGTTTCCGATATTGTCACAATAGAAGATCCTTGCTAATGTAATCAGTAGAATCTGAGATATGATATATCACTTCTGACACTGGCTTACTACGGGAGGTCGAGAAAGAGTGGTCAGCAATTGTTGGGAAGGGCCTGGATAATTTGCCCTTGATATCTTGCCCATTGCGTTTCTCCGCTGCAGAGATGGAGCAACAGGAGCATGACGAGAAGCTATGGGCCCAAGGGGTTGACCTTATGAGCGACTTCATCAATGAAACGGGGTGTTTTAAACACTGGGACGGAAGGGTAAGCCGCGAGGATTACGCAATTTCAAAGAGACAGCTGGCGGCTGGGGTCGAGAGGTTCCTAGGCCGCAAGGCTAGGAGTCAGGAGGAGCGGAAGGCATGGCTCAAGGCCTTGCCATTTGTGGATTGAGAACATGCTGGTCAGATCATAGTTACTTGAAAATATCCAAGGATACCATGACTAAGAATTCATCTGCAAAGCTTGAATCATTGAGGAGATTTATTTCATTTATCTGAATATGTCACCCTTGCAACCTTTCAGACCTCACACTCTGATCAGAGCCTGATATATAATGGTCTGCAGTGCAGCAAGTCAAAATGCTGTTTCTATCACGTGAAGCCCCTTTTTTTTTTTTTTTTTTTTTCATTGACATATTGTCTCAATGAGTGGATGCTGCCCATCGCCGGTGAGAAACATTGAATTTGCT